CCTCCCAACCCCCGAGTCCCTTTAGGGCAGAAGCAACACCAGCCCACACCCACGTCGGCCACGAAATGACTCACTTCCGGAGCCGGGTGCCCCTGAGCTCTCTGTGCTCCATGACCCACAGTCAGACCTCTGCTTCTCTAGTGCCCACCACAGAGCCCGGCGCCCTTACTGAGCACCTACTATGTGCCCAACGCCCTTACTGAGCACCTACTATGTGCCCAACGCCCTTACTGAGCACCTACTATGTGCCCAACGCCCTTACTGAGCACCTACTATGTGCCCAACGCCCTTACTGAGCACCTACTATGTGCCCAACGCCCTTACTGAGCACCTACTATGTGCCCAACGCCCTTACTGAGCACCTACTATGTGCCCAACGCCCTTACTGAGCACCTACTATGTGCCAGGCTGGGGAGCGGGCAGGGCAGGGAGTCCCCAGGAGGGGGCCTCTGAGCCTGGGAGGGTTCCCCAGGCACGGACGCCTGGGGGTGACAAGGGCATTGCAGTCGGGTGCCGGCAAGCCCAGAAGCCATGCAGCGCCCACCCCCGGAGCCTTGGGCTGGTAACGCGGAAGGCTGACTCAATGTGCGTGTCGTCACAGAAACTAGGAATCTACCCGGACGTAACCTTGCAGCCTGGGTGGTTAGATGTAAAAAAAAGCCCATAAGAAGGGGAGGCACAGATGTCCGGCTGGCGTGGCTCAGGGGTTGAGCATCGACCTAACCAGGAGGTCACGGCTGGATTCCTGGTCAGGGCACAGGCCCGGGTTGCCGGCTCGGTCTCCACTGTGGGGCGTGCAGGAGGCAGCCGATCCATGACTCTCTCTCATCATGGATGTTTCTCTCTCCCTCTCCCTTCCTCTCTGACATCAATACAAATATCCTATATAATAAAAGGCTACTATGCAAATTGCCTGAACGGTGGAAGGATTGGTTGCTATGACATTCACTGACCACGAGGGGGCAGATGCTCATCGCAGGAGGAGTGCCACCACAGGGGGAGCACTGCTCAGCCAGAGCCAGGCTCCCGGCAGCACTGAGGACCCCTTGGGGGATGTCCGCCTACTGGCTTAGAGGGCACAGGCCGGGCTGAGAGCCCCCCCACCCCGGTGCATGAATGTTGTGCACCGGGCCTCTAGTGTTAAAAGAAGAAGAAGGGGGGGGGGCACACGGAGGTTGGGGGTTCGCTCCGGGTTGCAGGTTTAGGTGTCAGAAGTGGGATCTGAATCCAGCTCCGACCCCAAGGACCGTCCCACTCGGCCAGCATCACCGGTTTCAGGGGTGGAGGCTGGCAGGGCAGCGGTGGGGAGCCGCCCCCGGCCCGTCCTATGGCCTCCCCTCCCCCCCGATCCCGAGGAACCTGGGTGCCAGGCGTGGGGCCCGGGGCAGTCACCTCTGCCTTCAGCCGCTCGATCTCGACCTCCCCGTCCTCGATCTGCCTCCGCAGCTGCTTGGCCACCGTCTTCTCCGTCTCCACGATCTGCAGCAGGTGCAGGTACTTCTGCATCAGCGCCTCGTGCTCCGTGGCCAGCGCCCGGTAGCTGTGGGCACACGGCCCCGGCGGTGAGTCAGGCACGGC